CCTTCCAGTGCCGCCGTACAGCAGGACCAGAGTGAACTTGTTGTGAAGGATTTTATATAGAAGATTTAGGCAATGATACTTTAATGTTGAAGACTGAACCATGCTTATGGGACTATAGGAACCAAGTGTGTGGTTTCTATGGGTGTCGCACAGGGATTAAGCACACAGGCTCTGGGGCTGCAGATGAGCTTCAGCACCCAGCCGTGGGTCTTCCCGGGGCTGGTGTTTTCATCTGGCATGATTAGTGGCCTTTCCCAGAAGATTATTTGAAGAGCAAATGAGGTAATGTGTGTTAAGTGCTTAGCCTAGTGCTTGGCTCCTAGTACATTGTAGCTTTTGTTCTTATCCTTTGTCTTCTCACCCCATAGCCATATACATAGCCATTTCTAACAAGCATTTTGGCCAAAATATTAATCAGCCTAGTTGTCTGGTGCACAGGACGGGTCTGGGTAGCTGAACTACTTACACGTGTAGGTATCTTTTACCATTTGCATTGCCGCTTTGAAGCATTAGAGAGTGGTGGGCTGGGGGTGCAGTGGGGTAGAGAAGTTTTTTTTTTTAAGCATATACCTTCATGAGTAACTTCATTGGATATGCCAGTATAACAAATATGTGTGTACGTGTGTGTGTATATATGTATATATGCAGAGATGTTTATAATCAGTGTTATCAAATAGTCGACTATAAGTAAAGTTAACTGTACCCTTTTGATATGTAACCAATTAGCCTGACAAGATGATGGAAAAAATTTTTTCAGATCTTATAGCATAATAGAATTAAGAGATCACCTGAGCCAACGCCTTCATTTTGTAGATAAGACAACTTGAAAGCCAAAGGGTTTAAAGTTATATGCCTCGTTGTTTGTAGAGTTGGCATAAAATCCATTTTGGCCGATTCCACATTCAGTCTTCTTTCCCCACCCAGCAGCTCTCTTGTCCTTCACTAAGCTTGGCCTTTACGGTGGCTCTAACGTGTGCTGGTCAGGGGAGCGACAGATCTCAGTTGTCACCCAGCTCTTCTCACCAGTGAGCTGACCTCAGCAAGTTTCCAACCCCTTTAAGCCTTGACTTCCTCCCACGTATCCTGGCGAGGGGCTTAAATGCTCTAATGTATGCAAGCTTGTTTGTTTTTTTCCCCCGAGACCCTGACACACCATAACCTTCAGTAAACGATTGAATGCTTACATAATGTAACCCCTTTAGAAATTATTAATAAATGTACATTGTTTTAAAAAATCATAATATGCACATTAGTATAAAGAAGAAAATGAAAAGCACCCATAACACCGTTGTCCAGAGATAATCTCAGACTTTTTAAATGCATTTTTCTCATTTAGCTTTGACTGCACTTTACAATCTGAAAAATGCAGCATGAAATTCTGTCAGTGATCCATTAGAGCAAAATGCTTAACATTAATCATGAGAGAAGAAGCCATAACAGAGCCTGATCATTATTCTTTCAAAAGAATAGAACATTACTAGTTATGCCAGTTGTACCTAACTAAGTACATGCGTAAATACGTTAAATTTCTTCTAGTTTTTGCTGTCCTTTTATTTTTTCCCCCCTTTAAATTCCAGTTTGAGCTATATACATATCTACCAGAAATTTCTTTTTTCTTAAGTATGATGAATTGTCGTCCATTCTATTGGACCTTGAAAGAGTGACCTCCTTGAGCTCTGTTTATGAATTTCGATTCACATTGCTCATGAGTAAGCTGCAAAATCTTCTCAGATCAAAGAAGTTTAAATCACTGGGAGAATGGACGTCAGAAATCAAATTGGTTAATTTTATATCTTCTTGTTTAAGAAAGTGATTTAAAGGGCCCTCTCAGTGGAATATGCATTAATGTTCCGAAAGTCTAGGCTGGCTAGTCTTTTTATGTTTTTGCTGTCTTCATTTTGTTGCCTAAGGCTAGTGCACTAAAAAGATTATTTTCCCTTGAAGAAGCTTTGTCTTCAAATCAAAGGTTATTAGAGTAATGGTTCTGCTCCTTTATTGATTGTTGTATGTGTGTGTTGCCATGAACTCAGATGGCTTTCAATTCTTGGACTTATGTAGTGATTTGTGGACTATTTTAAGGCTATCCAGTTTCTACCCTGGCACAGGGCTTGGGGCAGGGCTGCTAGCTTGTAGAAGTCAAGTAGGGATGGGAGAGTCCAGTGCCCCAGCTTTGTGTGTTTGTACCGAGGGTAAATACTGTCCTAGGGAGAGCACCAGGGGCCACAGTTAGGAACGTGTGGCCAAGGCAATGCGTGAAGGAAGGCAGAGACCACAGGCCAACCTAGGACACTAGGGTTCTGACAGCCAGGAGGAGATGGTAATAATGATTTGAAATAGAAGGGCATCCAGATCAGAAAGGCAGTGGGCTCATTCTGGGGTCCAGCTTTCCTGGTAGGATGCTGTGCTGGGGGGTTAAATTTGTTAAAGGAGCCAGGGTAGATCAGACAGAAAACGGATTAGGAGATTGAGTCATTAGCCTTGAGCAAGATTTTCCCCGGGTGTTATTAATGACCCTTATTTAAGAAAGGGTTGCTCATTTGAGGGCTGTTTGTTTCTGAAGTTGGAGTCACTGCAGATGTTGGCTTTCTTCCAATCCTGGTAATTCTCTGAGGTTTCAGAAAGAAATATCCCCACCCCCTTCCCATGGAGAAATTGGTTTATGTGTAATTCAGTTATCTTATTAACCAGTTATCCTGGTTAAAACAACAACCTTAATAACCCACTTTCCTCATTCTGTGTCAAGAATGTTCATGGTTGGGTTTTCCTCCGTTACGAGTGAGTATGTAACGGTTAAGATTTCTCACTGAGAGCTAAAATAGACCGACTCCATTTTCCATACTTTCAGGGATGCCCTTGAAGCCTTGCAAAGCATTATCCAGTCATTTAGAGTAACAAGAACTGAGATAAATGATCAGTTTCAAAGAGGAATGAAAGTCCTGAGTATTCTGCAGGGAAGTCATGTTTTAGAAGATCACCTGGGACTGTATTTTCATCAGTGAGTTTTAGAAGATTCTTCTTAGGGGGAGGAGGGAATGAACGGACTCTCTTTTAACAATATCTGATCTCACTAATGTTTCTCCTTTTGGTTAATTTTCTTTATCATAGTCTTGTTTCATCTTTCCCAATATCATGCTATTCATGGGGAAATTTTTTATGTGACACGTGGCTGTGTACACTTAGTTATTTAGTGTGAGATTGACTGCAAATTTGTACCCTGTTTGCCCATCCTCATCTTTTTCGTGTGGGGCTGAAGGTCTCTCGATCAGATCTGCAGTTCATTCTAAGCCTTCATGTTGTAAATATGCTTTATAGCATGTTTTATTGAGTCCATTTACAAAAATTTAATTTGAACTAGATAATTCAGTCTGGCCTAAGAATACAAGATACAGATGTGTGTAGTGTTACTGGGGCCAACTGGGTCTTCATCCTCTTTCAGGCTTTTCTGCTGGTTTTCCCTCATTTTTCTCATTTGTGGAGTTCAAGATATTGCCTTTCATGGTGATATTGCTCTAAGGTCTCAGGAATTAGACATGAGCACCCAAGGCAAGTTAGTGGGTTTTTTTGTTGGTTTTTTTGTTTGTTTGTTTGTTTTTTAAATAGTAAAACCCATTTCAACTTTCCTTATGTCCCCATTCGGAAAGTCTCCTTTTGAGTCTCTGAAGCCACTCACAAATATGGTAAAGTCTAATTTTATTCCACAAGAAGAAAAAGAGAATATTGTACTTTTCTTATCCGGGGATTCCACCCTCCCCCAAGCTTTGCTGCCCTCTGCCTATTGTTTTCAGATCCTTGGCAGGCAGATGGCTATATGCAAACCACCCAGTTATTTTGGTCTTAGTAAATAAAACATCACCTTGCATTAAGCAAAGTTTGTAGATTAGTGAAACTGCTGTTTCTTTGGAAACTCACCCAGAGCTGAAGACACACCATCTTGTCTGACTCTGCATTACTGATCCAGGAGGCTGTGATCTCACACATTTCCCTGCATTCTTAGTGACCTTCCAAGGATGTCCCTCACCCTCTCGCTTTGTTCATTTTTATAGGTCTGCCTGGCCATAGGAAAATTATTTTCCATGGCTCTTTATTATCTATCTTTAATGATCTCATTACATGTTAGTAACTGGGTGATATGTTATCTTGGAATTGTATGGCCAGTTTTGACAAAGGGGTCAGACATCAATATTACTCTGCATTTTTTCATCTTTCCTTTACGGAGAAATTGTGAATTTACCTAATTTTCTTTGGTAACCTTCACTGAAGTGATTTCTGTAAAACCTGACGCTTTTCTTTTCTCTGTCCTCCTCCCCCACAACTCAATAAACTCTTGTGCCTTGACAGAACAATCCATCTAACAGAATGGCTTTCACAAGATTGCTGAGGGTTTTTTTTCTTTTCATCTCTTTCTCCAGTACATTTTACCATCTTATTCCTTGTGATAGCATGAAGTGAACAGACAGAAAAGGAAAGGAAAGCCTCGATCAATTAGCTTTAAATTATCAGTTGCATTTCTAATTCTGAGATAAATGATTGAATTGTATGACTCAAATGCCATGCTATTTCCTTTCTAGACATGCCACAACAGATAAAGAATCATTCCTGTCCTTTTGCTAAATAGTCAGAGAGAAACTTTTTCATTCTCATTCCCCTACTGCACTGTTCTAGTCTTTTAACTTTCTGCCAAAAGACCCCCTTCTCCTTCTGCTGTAGAAACGTGAGGATTAAATGATTAAGGGGTCATCACTGTAAAGTACTTTGAAGGACAGATAGATGTAAAGTTAATCATGTGCTCCTTGGGACCTTTGCTGATTACTGTTTTATCTGAAAGGGCACCTATCTGTGGAGTGCTAACTAAAAGCATGGGTCTTTGACTAATAATAATAATAACCCACTTAAATACAGTACCCACTGAGTGTCAGGAACTGTGCTCAGTGCTTTGTACACACGTTAATTCATTTACAGATAAACCAGCATACTTAGTGTCTCTGATTTATATTTTTCAGGTTGAAAATTGGTGTCCTCATTTACCTTGGAGAGCAAAAAATCCCTATGAAGAAGCTGATCATAATTCATTGGTAAGTGATTTCGGAAACCTCTTACTAGGCTTGTGATTGGAGTCCGATGCCAAGTAATATAAGTGGAGTCTCCTAGAAATCCCACCTGTAACCTGAAATAGTGATAAACTGAAGAACTTCTATAAGTTAAGTCAACCAGTTTGCATATATTTATCGAACAATTATCTGAGCATTCCTAAGCGATAGATGTAGAAGTGCTCAATGATCTAATGAGGGTTATGGTTGTAAATAGTGATGGTAACTGTGTGAATGCTGGAATACAGACCTGTGGGAATTAGAGGTAGTGGCGATCTCAGCCTAGGTAGGGGTCAGGAGATATGGCCAAGAGAAGATGACACTGGAACTGAATTTTAAATGATGAATGAGTTAAGACTGGGTCAAGGAGATAATTTTTTGTCTGATTTTAGGGGAGAAGGTGCACGTACTAGAGTTTCACATTTTCAGGGAGTAGAGCATGGTTCAGTGTCACAAGGCCTTGCATGTTTGGAAGAGCTGGGGTGAAGATGAGATTGGAAAGGTAGGTAGGGGACTGCAAAAGGTTTAAGTCTTTAGTCTTTAGACTGGGAAATCAGCTAACTTTTTTTATAGAAGACCAAGTAGTAAATATTTTCATCTTTGGGTGCAACTACTCAAATCTGACCTTATAGTACAGAGGACAGCCATATACAATATGTAAATAAATAGACGTGGCTGTGTTCCAGTTAAAGTTCATGTACAAAAACTGGCATCAAAGGGAATTTGGCCCAAGACCTATAGTTTGCTGACCCATGCTTAGATTGAAAACTGTTGACTCTAGGAAAGACATGATCGGATGAGTGTTGAGAATGAACTATGGTGAATCCGTACTGAAAGATGGATTTGGTATGTTTTAGATGTTACGTGAAAAATATTGTGTCATTTTTTTTTTCCTGTTATTTCGATCACTGGTTATATCCAGCTATATTACAAAAATGTTCTTCCTGGCTTTGAAAATTATTCTGGCCTGAATTTTACATTTTATTTAGTTGTGATAGGAAAACATTATTCCTAGCTTTTAAATTCTTTAGAAAATAATGAACTTTTGTTTGTTTGGACTGGGAAAAAACTGGATAAGGAGCATGTATTTTCCCCACTTAATTTTATGGACAGAGCAAGTCTTTATGGCAGCCTCCACAATACCAGGTAGCCTGTTAAGAATTGACTTCAGCTTTCCCAGTATCCTGTTGCCCTACAGTAGACTGAAGTGGCCAATAAATTCAGGTGTAGAGAATTTCAAGGTACCTCAAGTGTACTCATTATTAAAAAATACATTTTAACATAGCTCAGGGCTTTGCAATGACTCTTCTTTCTTTCTCAATTTCTAATTTTTTAAACGATGTGCCTTAGAGCAGATTAGCAGTCAGGGGTCTTCACTTCAATTTGCAGTCCCAGGACCTTAAAGCAAACCCGTGCAGCAGTCAAGACTCACTTTTGAAGCCCTGTATATAATTGAGTATCTCTTTCAAGTTTTTAAATGTCACGTCATGAAAACCATTATGGTTTCTGACTTTTTATCATCTATTCATTTTTATTAAATTTCTGTTTCTAGGCGGAAATTCGTACAGATTTTAATATTCTCTACAGTACGATGAAAAAGCATGAAGAATTCCGGTGGATGAGACTGCGGATCCGGCGAATGGCTGATGCTTGGATCCAAGCAATCAAGTCTCTGGCAGAAAAGCAGAATCTTGAAAAGAGAAAAAGGAAGAAAGTGAGTTTGTAATTAATTCAGTTCAGTTAGATGCCAGTTTTCTTTTTAAATTTGATTTTGCTTGGAAACAGGATTTAAAAATGTCATGTCTCAGTGATAGTTCTTCGGAGGGGTGGAAACTGCTCCGTCTCTCATACATTCATTTTTGGGGTTTCCTGTCCCCGATTGCAGTCATTTTACTTCGCAAGAACCAGTATACGTGTTTCTTAGGTGAAGCTAAGCAGAATATTTGCCTGTAAGATTTTTTCCTTTGAATCATCTGTCTCGGTGGTGTTGAGAAACTTAACATTCTTTACCTGAATACAACCTTTGAGACCTTCCTGTTACATCATCATGACAATTTCATTTTTGGGGTGTTTGTCAATTCTGGGGTTTGGGTAACTGATGAGTCCCATTGCTGCTCTGGTTCTCCTGCTTACATTCTTGAGCGAGTGATACTATAAATTAAACTTGAACCAATTTGTTTCAAGTTCATGAGGAGATGGTTAGAAAACCTCTAGAATACCCCATGGAAAATCTTATACCCTATTAGTTAGAGACTAAGTGGCAGTGGCCTTCGATTAACTGTTCTGATTACGAATAACTGAGCAAAGTAAAAGATCTGTTTCTATACCTACAATATATTAAATGAGTTTGGTATTCCTAATTTGATGAAGTTGATATACGCGAAGAAGAAAATACAGATACACTTGCTGAACCTCAAGTCACACGCTAATGAGTCAGTCTTGCTTAGATCCCTTGAATTTATGAGATAGCAGGACCAAATGTCCTAGCACCAAGTAGTCTATAGAAGAGTATCTAGACAGAGATCCAGATGGGCCATAAAAAGAAATAAACAGTATTTCTGTATAACCCTATGTAGTAACCTCCAGGATATATTGTTAGGTGAAGGCATGTTAGGTGGAGAATAGTGAATATTATTTTTAAAGGAGAGAGGAAATTTATATATCTATACCTACATATATACATATAGACACATATACACACAAATATATAATATACATACATAGTTCTTGCTCATATTTTTTAAATGGAAGGATAAACCATAAAATTTTTTTTTAAAAAAGGGATGGTGGTGATGGTTTCATAACAGTGTGAATTTACTTGATGACACTGAACTGTATACTTAAAAATGGTTCAAATGGTAAATTTTGTGTATATTTTACTACAATTTTAAAAAGATCAAATAAGGAGAGGGAGGGAATAGTGTAGAGGCAACAGTTCTGGAAACTGGACTCTTCTGAATATATCCTACTTCGTAGATTTAATACTGGAATTATTTTGTGTAAAACAAAATTTAATTACCTCCAAAAAGCAATACCTAAAAATCACAAGGAATATAAAACAAATGAACTGACTGCATATCACATTTTACTATAAATACATAGAAAAGGACTAATCTTAGTGACTTTAGAACAAAGTTGAATATTTCTGATGGGATATCACAAAGGACAAAAACTGCAAAAATATAACAATTTTTACTAATCCCATAGTAGATGGTGAAGTTGATATCCTCATTTTGAATTCTTTGTGTTTATTGGACTAAAGCAAATAAGTAATCATGTTAGTGTCCTTAAAAAGTGGGATTTTCAGTGTGGGAGAGAGGAAATAACATGTCAGATGGATAGTGTCATGTAAAGATACTGAAATCCTGAGTTTGAATTGGAAAAACCAGAATGAACTCATGATTAGTTTTATCCTTAAGAGAAAATAAATTTTCTAGCTATGTCCACTGAAAAAGCCTACAGTGATCATCTAGAACACCCTAAGCACCAGACTTTGCTCTTTAAATACCATTTCCACTAAATGGTAGAAGAGATTCTTAGAAAATTGGCTAAGGTCTGAGACAGAAGTTGCACATGATGAGCCTGGAACACTTTGTCATACCAGGAAGCAAAGAAACTATCAAAGATTACTTAGGATTATGTCAAAAGAACTTAGAAGCCAATTTGAGCAGCCTCCCATTGGCCAAGATGGACAGTTTGATAATAAGAATAATAGCTGCAACTTATTGAAACACGTCAAATATACTTATATCTATGATTTTATAATAATTTTTTAAAATCCTCATTGGTCATTATGAGAGAATGCTAAAGAACAAATTTTGAAAACTGGTAAATAAAGGGAAAAAATGAAGTATTTACTAGGGTTTTTGTTTTATTTTGTTTTGTTTTATGTAAACTGTATTTCAGGGTAACCAAGTAGTTGATGAAAAGTAGTTTCTTTTTATAGAAGTATTCCAGCTAATAAATGCAGAATAAATGATAAATATCACCATTTTGCCACTCCTAATGGATTAATGCATTTCATTAGTGATCATCAGCAGTTGATGCTTAGTAGGAGATGCTTAGTTGCTAACATCACAAAACAGTGATTGTTCCCACCAGTGGAAATACACAGTACTGCCTATAAAGTAGCATTGCCAAATGTATGTGTGTGTGTGAATTCGGTTATATCCAAAGATCTAATTACTAATTTATCATAAATACGAGGGACAGAAGAATCTGTTATACAATCAGCAAAATCCAGAATGTGAGAGAGACTACGGGAAATACCACCCAGTTTCTTTGACAAGTAAATTACAAGCTCCTTCTCAAAAAAAGATGATAGGGTACTACTATAGGTTAAACAAGGCTAAGAGATATATGAAGCAATTACAATTTACACACTTTATTTGACTTCTGACTCAAACAACTACACTTGAAAATATAAGGGACACTCGAAATGTAAGCACTAACTGGATATTGGATGATATTAAGAAATTAATAGCTATTCTAGGGGTAATGGTGATGTTATGATATATTAAGCAAGGGTTTCTTATACATACACAAAGTGAAATGTTTATAGGTGAAAGCATATGATGTCTAGGATTTGCTTCAAGATAAGCTAGAGGGGTTGGAAGAAAATGAGGGGTGTACATTCAATAAGATTTGTCATGAGATAATAATTATTGAAGTTACATGATGAGTACAGTTGGAATTGACTATGTCATCATGTCTGCTTTTGTATGTGTTTGAAATTTTCCATGTTAAAAGTATAAAAATATTCTCGCTGTAGAAAAAAGTCCAATATTGTTCAAAGATATTTTATTGTCCTGGCTTACTCTCCTTTAATTCTGACTTTCCAAATATATCCTTTTTAAGAGCAGGATATCTGTTTATACCTCACGCTCTTAGCCATACCAAGGACAACAATGACTTTGTTTCTCTAAAACAATAATGAAAAAAGTAATTTCCTTCCCTTCTTTGTACTTTGTAGAAAACTGCTTACCTCACATTAGAACGTAAGCCTGACTTTAGCGTTGGTTGATCGCTCTTTGGTGTGTTACTGTGGAGTCCGTACTTGATTCAGTGGAAATAAGTATGCACCTCTCTTTTTTCTTTTTTCAGGTCCTTGTTCACCTGGGACTCCTGACGAAGGAATCTGGATTTAAGATTGCTGAGACAGCTTTCAGTGGTGGCCCTCTTGGTGAATTAGTTCAGTGGAGTGATTTAATTACATCTCTGTACTTACTGGGCCATGACATTAGGATTTCGGCTTCACTGGCTGAGCTCAAGGAGTAAGGAGATTACTTTTCAATTTTAAAATCAGAATACAAAAAAGAAATTGTAAACTCTTAAAGCCCTCTATTAGTGTGTAATTTCTTTTAGAAGAAAATGAAAGTGATAATTCACTAAACAGGAGATAAGAAGATTATTTTCAGGAGCTAAATACATACACTGTGAAAAGGATAATATGTTTTCATTGTAGCTACAGGCTCCAGAGGCTTCATAAATGAATGCCAGAAAATTCAAAGCAAGGAGCTTATTCTTTGCTATAACAGGTGCTTCCAACATCTGCAGCACAAAACATTATTGACTTTCCTAATTCCCTGTCTCTTGCTGAAATTCATACCATTCCCTACTCAACATCAAACTATCTAAATCTTGCGACAGGGCAGGTTCCTGTGTATAATTTAATTTGGATAGAATGAGTTTCCTGAAAGCCCTGAACCAATCCTTTTTCAATTAGCCAACTTTCAAACTCTGAGTCTGTTAACTCTACCTGGGTTTTCTGTTTCACTGAAACTTGCTTCTAGCTCTAGCCTTCTCTTAATCGCTTTTAGATTGACACAGCTGGCCAAGCAGGCATGCTTAGAGCCCCTTCCGTCCTTCTGCGTAACTGCCCACTGAGACTTTCCACCCAACAGCCAGGTTATCCTCTGCCATATGTCAGATGTTCCAGAAGAAACACCTTGAATGAACATTCTAGAGATGAAAGGGGTATTAAAATATGTCCCATCCTGCTTCTACTTTATTGTTCAAGATCTTGACTGACTCCCAGAGAAGTCACTTGTATTAGGTCCGAGGTCCACAGTAGTGGCAGTGTTGGGATGAAAGCAATAGCAGTAAGATAACATCAGTTGTCATTTGTTAAATGATTTCCATATTCTGAAACCATGATATAAGGGCTTTAGTTTTATGACAGCCATGATGACTATTAACAGCTAACATTTGTTGAGCACTTACTGTGCATCAGATACTAAGCATTTTACATGTTTCATCTTCTTTAGTCCTTAACACAAACCTGGCAGTAGGTACTGGGTACTGCTGGTCTCTGCTGAAACCGAGGTTCAACCTACAAATGAGTTGTGTGAAGTTACGTGGAGAATACATGGGAGAGCCAGGACTCAAGCCCTATGTCTGTCTGACCTCACAGGCGGTGCTTCTGTCTACTGTACCGCGTTGTTCCTTTGCGATCTGGATAAACCTAGGGTCTCCTGAACCCTTAATCACCACTCTGTCCCTTCGGCATGCTGCCTTCTGTTGCTTCCCCGCTGCTTGCTTTAAAACACATCGGGTACACAATCTATGAAGTGGATGCATTCATACAGTTAGCACTCATTCCTCCAGTGCCTTATGTGGGCTGGTTTTTGGTATGGGATATACAGAGATGACCAGCATGTGGTCAAGGAGATGCTAATCTTTTTATAATTATAACTAATACATTACACAATAATCACACCCATTACAATGTGATTAGTACTAATTGAGGTGTGGACGGTAGAGTGTAAGCACGGGGAGTGCAGAAACTGTTTGAATATTGTTCTCTACTGTGTAGTTAGCACCTAGAATAGTGCCTAACACACCATTGGGGGCTCAAACTATTAACCGAACAAATGAGTGAAAGGATGAATAAGTGGGTGAATGAATGGGTGCGTGAGTAAACAAAAGGCATACTGTTGGAGCGCCAGGGACAAGTGCTTACTAGGGAGGTCAGGAAAGGAACATTAGGGGTCTGTCAGGCAAAGACATAGTTCGATGGTCAAGGGGAACTTCGGTGACAGCGACAGATGTATTTTATTTAACAAGATAATTGTGGAAGCAACATAGCGCAGTGGTTCCCAAACATGCCTGCACGTTACAACCACCTGGGGAACTTTGTAGATGCCCAAAACCCAGACCATATCTCAGACTAATTAAATCACAACCTTTGGGGATGGAACACAGGTATAAGTATCTTTTGGTGCCTCCAGGTAATTCCGATGTACAGACAAGTTTGGGAACCACTGAATACAGGGTGGACCTAAGAGTCAGGAAACTGTGGCTCAGCGGCCAAGTCTAGACCTGCCTGTTTTTGTTAATGAAGTTTCATGGGAACACCCACTGTTTATATTTTGTCTGTGACTGCTTTCATTCTACAATGACGGAGTTGAGTAGTCGAGACAGAAAATGTGGCCTTCAGAGATGAAAGTATTTACTATCTAGTCCTTTACAAAAAAAAAAAATCTTCAGGTTCTTGGGAAAAAATTGGTTACAGGTAACCAGAGGAGAGGAGCAAGGTGCCTGAGGTAGTTTGGAGCTATAGAGCAGAGTCCTGTTTATGTCAAAGTAGGGTATCTATCCCTAATTTGAAAGGATTCTTGTGGGATGTGAGCAGGAATAAAAGGCTTCAATAATGACCTATTTCTAGGTCATGCTAATGGCAGTACCATTAACAGTTATTTACTTCCACATGTAAAGTTGTATGTTGGCTCTCTCTGAGTACAAAGGTGGGTTGGTACGGATGGGTGGATGGAAGAAAGGGCAATGAGAAAGTATAAACCGTAATGCGAGGATGTAATACAGTCTAGTCAGAAGGAACAATTTGACGTAAGAGAAGAAATTAGGAAATAGTACAAGACAATATAGAATGAAGTTTATACTGTAGAGGCTAGAAATAGAAGAGGTCAGAAATAGGAGGTCATTAAAGGCTGGCGTAATAAGAAACAATAGTCACTGAGGATCTTGTGTACATTAGTCACTTTCTACTTAGTACCTCATCTAACCACCTGAAAAAGGCCTGAGAGATTGCTTTCTTCTGTGTGTCCATTCTGGTTGTGTGCTGGGTTTTTTGTTTGTTTTATTGTTTGAGGATGAGGAAACTTTTTAAGGTTATGTAACTTCTCTAAATCTCACAGTTGCTAGTTAGTTGTGACATTCAGACCCCTATCTTCCTTGGTTTCAAAGGCCATGTTTGTGTACCACCATTTCCTTTAGCAGGAGTCAGAATCAAAGCTCTGGATGGGCCCTGATGGGCAGGAAGAATTTGAATAAGCAGTGGGTTGGGAAGGGCTGTGCCATTCTCCCTGATGAGGATTCTTTGATGTTTATTTGCCTACTAAAGTCGCTAAATGTAGTACCTTGAAGTAAATTTTTCTTTCCTCTCTTCCCTTTCTCTAGAATAATGAAGAAGGTTGTGGGAAACCGATCCGGCTGTCCAACTGTAGGAGACAGAATTGTTGAGCTCATTTATATTGATATCGTAGGACTTGCTCAGTTCAAGAAAACTCTCGGACCCTCCTGGGTCCATTACCAGTAAGTGCCGCATGCTGTTCTTAAGTTTGTATAGTTTTGATTTTTTTTTTTTTTTTTAACACGGGTTACATGATTACAAGTAGAAAAAAAAACCACTTATCAATATTATCTTTTGAACCGTGTGGAGTATATTTTCCATTCCTTATTGAAATTTAGATTCTCATAGTGACGTTTTACTTTCAAGGGTTCTTCATTATTTTCATCGATATCTTGTAAGAATAGAAAACAAGTGTCCAACCTCCTTTTTACCATTCCTAATACTTAGCATTCCTCTCTCAGTATGCCTGCCCCACCCTCATCTGCTTAATCAAATACTGATTTTGATAAACTGTGGACAGTGTCATTTCTGGTGTTTCTTAGGTTTAAGATAATGACCCATTTCTCTTCGCTTTTCCCCCATCAGTATTCTTGTGATTCTTGGAAGAGAAAACTGGAAATAGCTTGTCTCAAGGCTGGGGTCTTGTACTTTTTAAGATGAGCCTCATGCTTAGTATCATCAAGTGCATGTATTACTCTGTACAGTCTTTGTTGTTTAGCAGAAGAACTTAGTATTTCTTTGTGTGTGGGATTGGGACCGTGATTTACTATTTGAAACAATATTACATGATACACAGCATGACACTAAATGACATTGAATTATATATTGAAGTTTGTTAATATTTCCACTTTCAGTCTTTCTGAAAAAGGCTTAGTCTGTTGCTACTATCTCTCCAACACTACTTTTAACACACACATTTTTAATAGAGTGCGAATAGCTGTAAATCTCAGCCTTCAGCAGGCAAAAGTATCTAGTGCGAGTTTAATAATACTTACTAAGGAAGAGTAATATGCTTTTTTGTTGTCTTCCGTTTATTACAGTTGATACTGGCTTTTATTTACGGCATGTAAGTTTCCAATAAAATTTAAAAGATGAATAAATTTTTCAAATATAATAGACATACAATATTATATTAGTTTCAGGTGTACAACATGGTGATTAGACATTTATTTAACTTACAAAGTGATCACCCCAATAAATCTAGTGCCCATCTGACACCGTACATAGTTATTAAAATATTATTGACTCTGCCTTATTGCTATACTTTACATCCCCGTGACTCTTTTGTAACAACACATTTGTATATTTCTTAATCCCTTCCCCTTTTTCACCCACTACCCAACCCCCCTTCCATCCAGCAACCATAAAAATTTTCTCTGTATCTATGGGTTTGTTTCTGTTTTGTTTGTTTAGTCTGTTCTTTAGATTCAACATGTAAGTGAAATCACATGACATGTATCCTTCTCTGACTTAACTCCACTCAGCACAATACCCTCTAGGTTCATCCATGTTGTCACAGATGGCAAGATTTCATTTATTTTTTGGCTTAGTGATAGTCCATTATATGTATATACCACCTCTTCTTTATCCATTCATCTATTGATGTACACCCAGGTTGCCTCCATTATCTTGGCTATTGTAAATAATGCTGCAATGAACATATGGATTCACATGTCCCTTTGAAGTAGTGTTTTGAGTTTGTTCAGATAAATACTCAGAAGTGGGATTACTGGGTCCTTCTTTGTCTCTTGTCATAGCCTTTGTTTTTAAAGTCTGTTTTTTCTGATGTAAGTATTGCTACCTAAGCTTTTGTTTGTTTCCATTTTCATAAAATATCTTTTCCCATCCCTTTACTTTCAGTCTATGTGTGTCTTTTGATCCGAAGTGAGTCTCTTACAGGCAGTTTATGTAAGTGCCTTATTTTCTTATCTATTCAGCCATAAAAGGTGAATAAGTTTAAATAAAATAAATATTATATTTACTTAATAGTGTCGATGGTACATGAATTTGGGTAAAAACTGTGAAGTTAATACCAATTTTTCCAGTGATAGTAGATGGTGACCTATAGTTTGAGCCAACTTCCTAAGAAAACACTGAAAATCTTTCAATTAAAGTGACTTGGAAACCTCTTCATGTGTTCCATTTCTATCGATATTTGATAAAGAAATGTTTCGATATTTTTTTTAACTAATAAATGAATCATTAAGCCTGAACTAGGTTTCTTCATTTCAAGTTAGCTTATAGTTTAATATTATTAATTTTAAGCTCCATGGTTCTGTCAGATTGGAAATCCTTTAGAATTGAAAGAAATGAAAATTTAAAATATTAAGAATCTTCTCAAACACAGAGAAGAAAAACACCATTGTCCTAGCATTTCCTTGCAGTAGCAGTGATTTTCTCACTGGGCAGTGAGAACTTCATAGGCAGAGGAAAGGAATTGATTGAGAAGAGACCTTCTGCTTTTCATGGCCTTTGTTTATAGTTGCATAAAAAAGCAAAATTAAAATTTTGATTTGGGCCAGGATAGATAGCATTTTACCTTCTGAATCAGGTTTATCCTGGTTTGGGGTTTGTCATTTTCTTAAAATCTTCATAAATCACAGGCCATCACATTTGTTCTCAGTTACATGAAAATAACCATCTTTTTTGGTTAGTAGGCCACGTAAGTAAACAAACTTTTTTTTTTTTTTTTTAAGTTTATTGGGTTAACACTGCTTAATACAATTATATAATTTTCGGGTGTACATTATAATTTGACATCTATATATTCTATTGTGTGATTACCACCCAGAATCCATTTTCCTTCAGCTACTATATATTTGATCCTTTTTACCCATTTCACCCTCCCCGAACCCCCCTTTACCCTGTCTACCTTTTCCCTCTTCCCCCACCCCCTACCCACTGGTAACCACTAGTCCATTGACCATGTCCCTGAGTCTCTGTTTGTCCTGTTCATGTATTGCTTTTAGGTTTATATCCCACATATAAGTGATATCATGTGATTTTCAACTTTTTCAGTCTGGCTTATTTCGCTTAGCTCAAGGTCCATCCAGGTTGTCGCAAATGGCAGTATTTCATCTCTTCTTATGGCTGAGTAATATTCCATTGTATA